TGTTCCTCGAATATTAAAAATAAACATATTTTAGGTGAACGTTGTAAGAAACATATTAGGAACCTTTAAATAACATTCTAATCACAACAAGAGAACTGGACATTACAACGTTTTAGAAACATTTCAAAACAATGTTCCCACATTTTTATAACCTAAATTTGCTACCTGGGAATAAGATTTGTCTTTCCATCGCTAGACATGCGCCGACAGTCTGAACATGCCTGTGTGTGTGAACACCTCTTTAATTCACCTGCAGCTGAGGAAGTAAATGTTGACTTTCATTAAGTGAGAGCCATGCTTCAGTCATTGACTACAGTTGCAGTTTTTTCCCTCACAGCACATTTGTTTATGCACATTTATGGATTCTCTGTGATGTGTGTAGGTTCATGTTGGACCCATGAGGAGCACGAGTGTTGGGTGGCTCAAACTGAAGAGTAAAGACCCTTTTGACCACCCTATCATCCAACCAAACTATCTTTCCACCGGTACGTTTACTCTGATCTGACGCTCTTAGAGCAGCTCAGGCCTCGGGCACCATGTTGTTCTGTGTGATGGAGCTGTTCTAGGGTAACCATGGGACTTTGTCCCACATCCTACAAGACGGAATCAGTATCCCGCATTTCAATTATGGCTGTTTTATTGTTGTCTTTCCTGAAATTACAATATCGCAATAAAAATAATATAAAACTGTGATTGGAGTTAAAAATCTACTTGTGCAGCCGTCATTTTCTAGCTACAGCATGAAAAATAACCAACCAACCAACGCACTCATAGAGAGGGTTTCTTTTCCACTCATTTCTTGCTACTTAAAGGGATAGTTCACCTTCAGTTGCTGGTCCCCTTTGGCTTGCATAGTGTTTTTTTTTCCATACAATGGAAGTCAATGGGGACCAGTGAACTATCCCTTTAAGGAAATTTATTTTGGTAAATGTATCTCTCTCCCACATTTTAAGAGTGTTGGAAGAGTTTTTCTGTTCAACTTCTGAACTTTGCGGTCTAGAAACAGATAGTGTTCAGTAATACAGGTGCTTTCAGTTTGCTCCCGTCTGAACTTTCCACATTTTAAATAGTCTTACTCTTTTAAATCCCAAATTTGTTGAAGAACCTTAAGTCAATTACAGTCAAAAGTTTGTAGATTTTTCTATATTAAGAAACATAATATATATACTGTATATATACACATATATACAGTGTGTATATATATATATATATATATATATATAAAGAGAAAGATAATCAGAAACACTCCCATAACCCATCAACAGATTTGATGGTGAGGACCCAGAACAGAAGTGAGGCTGTATCTTGGCAAACCTTTGGCATATTGAGATGAAACATGGTAATCATCAGTGGTGTAGGCGAAACTTAGTAGCTAACCCCGAGTCCCTGTAAACGTGACCCCCTCGTGGTCATAAGCTGGTTATACGTGTTCATATGTTTTGAACGGACATCATAACTGTGCTGACTGATTCTGTGGATTATGCTCAAGTTCTTGTGTAGTTTCTCTAACTGCCTCATCTCCTAACGTCCCACAGACACTGACGTGTGGGAGTTCAGAGAATGCATCAAGCTCACACGGGAAATCTTCGCTCAAAAAGCCTTCGACCCTTTCCGAGGCCCCGAGGTGCAGCCGGGCCCCGCCGTCCAATCCGACGCAGAGATCGACGCTTTCGTCCGGCAGAAGGCAGACAGCGCCTACCACCCGTCCTGCTCGTGTAAAATGGGCAGCGCCTCGGACAGCAGGGCGGTGGTGGACCCTGCTCTGCGTGTGTTCGGTCTGCAGGGGCTGAGGGTGGTGGACGCCTCCGTTATGCCCAGCATGCTGAGCGGGAACCTGAACGGCCCCACCATAATGATTGCTGAAATGGCAGCGGATGCCATTAAAGGGATTCCCTGTCTTCACGACCCTGGAGTTCCTGTTAACCGGCCCACGACTCTCGAGACGCAGCGATAAGACGGCTTTGACCTGGCCGTTCATGGTAATGTGGGTATGAATGAATAATTTTGCCACATGATCAACCACTCTTCAGTCTTAGGCAGCTTAGCTTCATCCAGAAAGTGGCTGATTTCAGTCGGTCTTAAATTCAGATGTACATAATTCCTAATTAGGGCTGGGTATCGTTCAAAATTTTTCGATATCGATACCGATACCTTGACTTCGATACCGGTTCCTGAATGATACTTTTTTCGATACCAATTTTATGAAATCAATTTTAACAAGATTACATTATCTAAAAAAAAAACTTAGGTTTTATTTTTCAGCTTGTTGATGTTTATACAAACTCAGTATCGAACTCGATACCCAGCCCTATTCCTAATACACGTAATATGACCAGTCATGATCTTGATCAATTTCATGAGATGCTCTCTGTAAGTCTTAATGAAACCGACTAATATCACGCTCTTCAAAGAAGAGCCATTTGTAGCATAGATTTTTCCAGTTTGCATATTTCCACACTAATATATTTCAGCTGCTGAGCCTAACAGCAGGAACCAGTTATCAATGCAAATAACTTTTGCAAACTCATGTTTACATGGAGAGAAAAGGAGAACCTTCAGACTTCTTATGTGTTCTTTATACTGGTACAATGGATTTTTTTTTTTTTACATACAACAAAACAGTGGTCCAGTTTTAACAGATTGACAATGCATGTAAAATCACTACAGCCGATGACTGTACCTGTCAAAAAGAATAAAATTATTAAATTATAAAAGTCTCCTAATGTCCTTCTACAGCCAAATATTGTCCATGCAGATGACTGACACTTGCATGACCTGAAATAATCATTCGCACAACTCGAATGACCTCCACTTCATCTTCATTTCAATAATGCCAGTAATCTACACACAATCTTATGATTTATAATTGCATTTAATTATAGGTAAAAGACCATTTAAAAACATGAAAATAGCTAATTTAGTTCACATCTGGATAATTTTCAAAATATGACAGAAACAATATAGACATATTCCTTCAAAATGAAAGGAAATCAGTTTTGCGTTGCTATTAAAACACCGTCATAATTTATCCATTCATTCAACATATACATGACTTTAAAGCCTTTGTAATCAGACATTTTGTTAAAAATAGATCCTCTTTAATGTCTAGCATCTTGAAAACGATAAAGGCAGTTGAGAGTTATTCTAAGTATTAAACGTTTTATTTAGAAAGGAAAGGTTTGTGGTTTGCATCAAACAAACAGTTGAACATCACAGAGACAAACATAGTCTTTTAGAAACAGCATGTGCTAAATAACCCGTTATTCCTTAAAGACTCAAAAATCAACAATCTGTCATCATTTACTCTCTCAACCTGTACAATGTTATTTCTTGAACTTGAAGCTTTCAAAAAGATTATAAAAGCAGCCCAGCCAGATCGGTTAGCAAATCATTCTGACTGATTTTGTGAGCTGGATCGACCAGTTAATTGAAATGACCTTAACATTGCTATATTCGTGAACACAGCTGGAGCGGCTAGGGCTGATGTTAAGATATCCACTGAACACTGATGTTGGTCTGTTCCTCATTCAATGCTGCCGAGCCACAGGAATATAGCACACAAATTGTACGGACGGTTTTCACAATACTTTTATATCTCGTACTTTATGAATCATGAAAACTTCAGCGCCCATTCTTTGTAACTGCATCTTCTTTCCATTGAGGAAAGTCATTCAGGTTTGGACTGAACATTAGGATTAGTAAATGATGACAGAATGTTAATTTTTGGGAGAATTATTCTTTATTTTATATAATCCCAAACGTCAGCAGGTGTGTGACACAGACCTCATTATCAACAACAGGACCAATGAAACAGATGAACATTGAAAATACATAAGAAAAAAAAAACAGTTGGTTGACCAGCTGAAGGAACTGGAGGACCAAAGCAGTTTTATTGAGGCAGATGCGCTCACAGTAACGGTGACAGGCCTCTACGACGCAAGCGCTTATTGCTTTGATATGTTTAGAAACTGCTCCTACTAGAAGCAGAAGTTGATGTTTCCATCGTGATGTCTCTGAGAGCTCAGAGAGTCAGACGGCAGTAAGATTTGCTCTGGATAAAGGAAGCAGAATCTGCTTTTCGGTGCTGCTGTGTAAAGCCCTTTGTAAGATCTGTTTGAGTACCTGAAGTCTAGGACGTCCTCCTAAAATGATGATTGTGTGATGCATTCATATTTGAACATGAATGGTTTCACAATTGTATTGTGTATTATTTAAATGCCTTAGTTTGTGCATTTTACAGCCAATACTCAACAGACTGGTGTAGTGAAATATTTCATATCATAAAACCTTTCTTCCACCACCAAAATTGGCATCTTGCATTTTTATTTCAGCATGTGAAACTAGGTGCATGGATTATTTGCATTTCCGTTTGTGCTAACAGTAACGGTGACAGGCCTCTACGACGCAAGCGCTTATTGCTTTGATATGTTTAGAAACTGCTCCTAAGCAGAAGTTGATGTTTCCATCGTGATGTCTCTGAGAGCTCAGAGAGTCAGACGGCAGTAAGATTTGCTCTGGATAAAGGAAGCAGAATCTGCTTTTTGGTGCTGCTGTGTAAAGCCCTTTGTAAGATCTGTTTGAGTACCTGAAGTCTAGGACGTCCTCCTAAAATGATGATTGTGTGATGCATTCATATTTGAACATGAATGGTTTCACAATTGTATTGTGTATTATTTAAATGCCTTAGTTTGTGCATTTTACAGCCAATACTCAACAGACTGGTGTAGTGAAATATTTCATATCATAAAACCTTTCTTCCACCACCAAAATTGGCATCTTGCATTTTTATTTCAGCATGTGAAACTAGGTGCATGGATTATTTGCATTTCCGTTTGTGTTTTCTTGCATTCACCCAAAAATGATTTACTGGCCTTGTTTCCCATAAAAAAAAAGTCCATAGTTCCAAAGTCCATATAATTTGTGCACTATATTCCAAGTGAGATGGCCAGCTTTAAATTTGCATTCCAGTATGTTGCGGCAGATTTGAAGTCAATGTTCCTCATTCAATGCTGCCGAGCCACAGGAATATAGCACACAAATTGTACGGACGGTTTTCACAATACTTTTATATCTCGTACTTTATGAATCATGAAAACTTCAGCGCCCATTCTTTGTAACTGCATCTTCTTTCCATTGAGGAAAGTCATTCAGGTTTGGACTGAACATTAGGATTAGTAAATGATGACAGAATGTTAATTTTTGGGAGAATTATTCTTTATTTTATATAATCCCAAACGTCAGCAGGTGTGTGACACAGACCTCATTATCAACAACAGGACCAATGAAACAGATGAACATTGAAAATACATAAGAAAAAAAAAACAGTTGGTTGACCAGCTGAAGGAACTGGAGGACCAAAGCAGTTTTATTGAGGCAGATGCGCTCACACTAACAGTAACGGTGACAGGCCTCTACGACGCAAGCGCTTATTGCTTTGATATGTTTAGAAACTGCTCCTAAGCAGAAGTTGATGTTTCCATCGTGATGTCTCTGAGAGCTCAGAGAGTCAGACGGCAGTAAGATTTGCTCTGGATAAAGGAAGCAGAATCTGCTTTTTGGTGCTGCTGTGTAAAGCCCTTTGTAAGATCTGTTTGAGTACCTGAAGTCTAGGACGTCCTCCTAAAATGATGATTGTGTGATGCATTCATATTTGAACATGAATGGTTTCACAATTGTATTGTGTATTATTTAAATGCCTTAGTTTGTGCATTTTACAGCCAATACTCAACAGACTGGTGTAGTGAAATATTTCATATCATAAAACCTTTCTTCCACCACCAAAATTGGCATCTTGCATTTTTATTTCAGCATGTGAAACTAGGTGCATGGATTATTTGCATTTCCGTTTGTGTTTTCTTGCATTCACCCAAAAATGATTTACTGGCCTTGTTTCCCATAAAAAAAAAGTCCATAGTTCCAAAGTCCATATAATTTGTGCACTATATTCCAAGTGAGATGGCCAGCTTTAAATTTGCATTCCAGTATGTTGCGGCAGATTTGAAGTCAATGATGCCAAATGTCACCAACCTTGATGTGCTTCGAATATGGAAAAGTAGGAACAAGGAGTGAAAATAGACATTCAGTCAATCATGACTTTAATTTGAAAGACTTGAAATATAGTTTAGTTACCCAACCAGGAGGTACCACTGTGATGTTTATACCATTATAATTGTCTTATATGTGAATAGAATTCTTGACTCAAATGGTGAAAGTGTCCTGCGTGGGTCTGAGGAAATGCTGTTTGGTACCTTTGACCAAGTGGACTTTGGCTGGTAAGTTGGTTGGGGATCTTCAAAGGTCCAGTGCATGCACAGATTCAGAGGAAAACACTTTGGTCGGTAATGTCATCACATTTGGATCTTGCTGGAAATTCCCAAGATATCAAAAGGTTTGTTAACTAAATGAAAAGGTCAGAATAAAAGGTAAAGCCAGCAGAACTCCCCATGCCACTCCCGTGTAAAGGCACGATTACCTCATTCATTCATTTTCTACAGTATTTAGTTTGATTGGGGGTATTTTGAGTTCTGTACTATAATACTGAGACGTAGATCATTTCGTCAGCGAGATCCTCCTCGCGTTTATTGCTCGTGTCCGTCTCCTCATCGCTGTAGTCACGCAGATTGTTCTGACACAGGCCCGCCTCGTCTGCCTCCGGCCCGCGGCCTAGCCTCACGTTCAGTAAATTGCTAGCAGCACTTTCCATCTCATCAATCGTCATTTCACAAGCATCTGCTATCTCGTGTTTTGTCACCGTCACAAACTTTGGATCCTTCGCATATTTGCCTAATCCACCCGATATCATCACCTACAACAAAAGGCATCGTGTCAGTGCTGCAGGTTTTGTTTCTGAATCCTTCCTGTCTATATTCAACAATGGTGGCAAGTTTTACTTGCAGTCCGGTCTAGCACCATGCGATATAGTCTAAAAGATAGTATGTATGTCAGTATTTAGACTACTATATTTGATATATAGCTCAATGTCATAAATGTCCTAAAAGTTTTTTTTCTTCAATAAGTAGCATCGTTTCAGCCAAACTGTCAGTTTAGTCAATTAGATTTAAAATGTTGAACGCAAAAGGTAAGACCTAGTTAAATACGATTTTGGAATTTTACAGTAATACATTCCTGGAATTCTTGTACTGCATTTTTTACATAAAATCTCAATCAACTTTCATGCCACATTCTTGTACCCCATGACCACAAATTCACAATGAGTAGTACTTAAGAATAATAAAACAACTTTTTGAAGCACTTGACAAATTCCCATGTCCCCAATCATTCTTCTCAACTTCACTTTGTAATAAAGATTATTTCAAATTCAAGTTATGTATTTCTAAATTAGCAATTTCGAGTAGTAGTATATGCTTATTCTCTTCGACTCAATTTAGTATGATATGCATATGATACACATATTTTTTCTATGTGTAAAACAATTAAATTAGTTTATGTCTCTCAAACGCCAGTCCATCCTGTTACACTGGTGTCAAGTTTCCTTTTAAAATCATATGCCCTGAATCACATGACTTGCTAGAAATTACATAATTTCCTTTGAGGGAAAGCAAGAAAAAAAGGCAAGTAATTAGTCATTAACATTTCTCTCTTTTCCTCATTTAGACTTGTTTAATAGCATAATTCATAACATGTCCACCCTGCTGTGTCAATTAATATTGGGCATGAACATTTTTTAAACAGATTTTATATATTTATTAACAGAGCTGGGTAGTAACTGATTACATGTAATCTGTATTACGTAATCAGATTCCAAAATTAAGTACTTGTAATTAGATTAAATGACATTTTAAAGGGGTCATCTCTCTCACACACACACACACACACGACACGGTACTCTGCACTGCCCAAAACTCCGCATTTGATCAGTCAATAGCAAATACTTAAACTAGTAACAAAACATACTTACAGTCGCTGATTCAGAAGCGCAAGATTGTCATAGCAAAGTCGGAATTGACCCTTTTTTTTTTTTTTTTTTTTTTTAAAAAAATTTTTTGGGCACAGGCCTTGTACTCTTATAGGTTCAAAAAACTGTCGTCCATAAAATACGTTGCACAAATTCGAACATCTGGGTTGTGCTGTTCTGTTGCAAATAAATCTTAACCAATGATTCCTAATTGCATCTACTTCCGGAAGGCCAAATAAAGTGCTTTTGCTTTCGCACTAGGGCTATATATATATTTGTGGACATTCACAGAAAGACCAGTCATTAGTCAGGAGGCTACACAGCATTTGACCGCTGGATTTACAAAATCATTTCAGGTTGCAACATTGTTTTTCACAGTTTACATTTGAATTATCACTCAGTAGGTTATTTAACCATGTATTACTATAGCTTTGAAAGGCTTTTGTCTTTCAAACACATTATAATGCACAAATTCAATAAAACAAATTATTTTGATAATTAAGTATCAAATTTGCATGTTCGTGGTTCTCTGACATTGCTTAATGGTCACATGACATGCAGGTACACAAATCAAATATTTTATTTATTTAGTAAGCGTTTCATTTTGATTGATGTTGTTTTAAAATGACTTATTTTAATTATACCTTTTTATGATTTAATTATTTGCTTTTCATTAAACTTACGAACTCCCTGCAGCTCATTCATGAACCCCAGTTTGGGAAACCTTGACGTAATGTAATGTTTAATCCACTTCATGTTGTTAATCACAACGAATTTAATATTTTCTTACTCTTTGTATTTTTATATCAGTATGGTACAAGATTATCCTATTTAAATCAATGTTATAAATGACTTAGGTCAAAAATAATCTAAAAGTAATCAAAAAGATTACAGTACCTAAAATGTGTAATGTGATGGATTACGTTACTAACTACAATTTTTGTCATGTAATTTGGAATCAGTAACAGACTAAAATTTGTAAGTAATTTACCCAGCTCTGTCTATTAAAATTCCTCCTAAACTGGTAATCCCAAATGCCTGCTAGCATGTTGTTATTTTCTAGCTAGTAATGGACTTCATTAGTTCTTAAACGTCCACACGTTTTTTTTTTGTTTTTTTTTCTGTATTGTTTTTACACATTATACCATAAAAATGTCCTGTAATAGGTTGGACAAATTTCCTGGAAGGTGAAAGTGAAATATTTGGTGGGGATTTTTAAGTTATACTAGCCTGAGCTTGACCAGTGTGTTTTTCTGATAGACATTTTCTCCCTCTGGTAAGACTAAGTAATATAATATATAAAATATCTGATTTTTTTTATTTTATTTTATTAAATTGTATATATATATATATATATATAT